CAGGTTTTGTGTTTTGAGCTGTAGGAAGTTGGCTTCAGTTCTGGTGATGAGGTTAGGTGCTTGTTTGAATGTACAAACCACTTTTCAGAGCTGGGCCTATGAACTGCACTTCATCAGCCTCCTAGATAGTAGGTACAGAAACTCATGGACTCAATATCCACAGTGGAATTCTGGCACACTGTGACCTGCTGGACATCTGACTCCCCAGGCACCTCTGCACTTTTACCTGCTCTGCTACATCCCCCTTTCCCACCTATCCCCCACCCCAGCCTGTCCCTCACCCCCCTGAGGCCTCCATTTCCATTTTCACTGACTGGCTGTCTTGCCTGCACTGCATGCCAGGCCAGCCTCTGGCTTCTTTACTATTCCTTCAATCCAGGACCAACTGCAAGTACTTCCTCAGCCAGACAAAGGAGTTTTCAACCCTAAAGCTTCCAAAGATACATTTTTTTTTAGGTACTCCTTTTTTTCATAATACACACATAGACATAAAAACATAAGATAAGCCATCATACACCATGAATAACATGATATGTTCAACACAACACAACATCTTTACTTCTCGCTGTCAATTCTTTTATAAAATGACAGGCTCCGGGACAATTCCGTGTGGGTACCTTTGATGCTGCTGCTGATGCTACTGGTGTTGAGCCAGCTAAGTTATTGTACCTGTTGTCACGTAAAGCAGAGGACCAGGCGTGAGGCTGTAGAGGAGGAGAAAGCCTCAGTGGGGCACGCTGCTGTGTTGTGCAGAGGCCCCAGCGCCAGGAAGGGTGCACCTTAACACACACACAGTGTCACCCACCTACATCACGAGTTTTGCCTGTCAGCAGCTTGGGGTGCAGGGCCCCAAATGACAGACTTCCACAGCAAGACACACACAGCTGGCAGGCAGGCTTCGTGGCCTGGCAGGGCCCAGCACTCACTCAGGCCTGCTCTAGGACACACACAGCTCCCCCCCCAGCCCCTGCTCCAATCTTCTTGAAGCTTGGCATGCATTGTGGCCTTGGTAAGAGCCACCACCCCTGCAGTTTTCAGCCCGCTGCGCCTTAACACACACAGGATCATTTGTGTCATGAGTTTTGCCTGTCAGCAGCTTGTGGTGCAGTTCGCCCCCCCGTCCCTGCACTGATCTTCTTGAAACTTGGCAGGCATTGTGGCCTCGGTAAGAGCCACCAGCCCTGCAGTTTTCAGCCCCCTGTGTTGTAATACACAGCCATGACATGTTTTGCTTTTAAGAATGTGGGGTACAGTTTTCCCCCAACCCCTGCACTGATCTCCTTAAAACTTGGCATGCTTTATGCTCTTAGTAGAGGCTACCATCCCTGCAAGTGTCATCTATATCGGACAAGAAACAACAAAGTTATAGATCTTCCATTGATTCCCCATTATACCCTATGGCCGGACCTCCGAGGCAGCTCCGAAGCTTCGGAGCTGCTTCGGCCAGATCAAGGCAGAAACCTGATCCGGAGCTCCAGATCACATTGTGGCCATCTGAAGCAGCCGGATCCGAAGCCGAATCGGATCGTTGCTGACTCGCACAGCCCTACCGGTTAGTAAAATCCCGGACAACAGGGATTTTACTGTAATGAAGTGGGGCAACTGCTGTGTCACTTAGCTTTACAAAACCATGTGAAGAGGTGTCTGGTTACAGTACAGCCTCACTGTCAAATTATGGGTATGCCAGTTCAGCAAAGCACATTTCTGCTTTACAGAATTAAGGCCAGTGTTCTTTCAGGAGGCAAAATTTAGTAACTATTTTGGAATGAGTTGGTGCTTAGTAAGTAAAATTAGATGGAAAGATAACATTGTTCATTTTTTTTAAACTGCTAACCTAAAAATGGTGTAATTTCTTTTTTTAAAACAGAACCAGAAATCAAGTTATTAAAACCAGAATTTCTGTCAAATAACGAAGTCAGAATTCACTGTGTTTTGGAGAAACAAAATGGTCCAAATAAAACCTTTATACTGATATGGGAGGGCAAAAACGAGACACAGAACGCATGTATATTTATAAAAAAAGATCTTTCCTACTTGACACCATATAATTATAAGGTAAGATACATCAATTTTTAATTTCAAAATAAAAATATTGGTACTTGAACATTGTTTTTATTTAATTTTAGCATTTTACGTGTTTTTTGTCATGAATACTTCCACCATGATAAAGTTATTTTATCAGTAGCCTTCGTTTCGTAATTCTCTAGTGTTTTATAATTTTATATAGTTTTAACTATGATGATCAGAGATGGCATTAAAAGTGTCTTTTACATTTCAGAAAATGATCATTATGCACGTGTCATTATTGCCAAAATTAGATGAGAGTCTAGGGGCATGTCTATACTGCTATTTAATTCCATACCTAGAGACTCGTCTTTTGGCTAAAATCCTCCAACATTCACCTTAAAAATTCCTCAATCCACTCTGTAGCAGAGTCCAGCCAACATTTGCAAGCTCTTAAGCATGAGGACGTAAGATAGGGGTGGGCAATTATTTCATCTGTCAGGCTACTTAACGAGTTTTGGTGAGCTGTCAAGGGCTGCACACGTAAAATCTTTTAGAAGATATCATTTGTATAAATTATACATTAAAAACAAATCATATACTAAAAATCAAACATCTACTATATTTTACTTTTATTACAAAAATGAATTTTTGTCCTTTTTATGTTTTTGAGTAGTGTATGTAGAGGAGACATAACCAAAAGGGTGCATTCGTTGAGCTAGAATGGGTAGGATATTCAGGTAATATTTAGTAAATGACTACCTGTAAGCTGCAAACTGATTTTCCCCCACATTGTGTGCACTTGTTTGCAGGAGTTGTTTTGATTATTTGGTACATTCAGAAGTTGATTAAGGTGAATCAGGGATCCAAAGCTACACAATCAGGCACTCATTTTCCCAGACTCTTGAACAAAAGTTTTTTCATCCTGGGTAGCCCTTGCTTGCAGAAAAAAAAATCACATTCTTAGTAAAACCACACCCTCCTCAGACTTCTCCTCAAGACTGTTTTCCTTTCTCTAAATGTCTTCCTGTACTTCTGCCTGTCTTTTATCCTTCCATTTGCATGCTTTTTATTTTAATCCTTCCATGGCACCCCCTCTACATCCACCCCTGTGTATATACATATATATGAACATTACTTTTATTGTAGAAAGGTGTAATTCTTTTGAAATTTTTGCTTTTAACATTTTAATGCCATTTTGAATAGATTTCTATTTACTAGATAATGCTTTTAGTGAAATACTAATGTTATTCTAACTTTTTTATATACTACTTTTCACATTAAAATATGTCTTTGAAAAATTACTTATCTACAACTACTTTATTCTAGAGATATTGCAGATTCCTATATATTGATATACTACTTCAAATTAAGTAGCAGAAACAAAACCTAGGAGCTGAAAAAAAATGATCAGGGCACAAATCCTCAGCTGCTAGAATCAGTTTTATACCCCCTGACCATGGTGGTATGGGTCTGTTTTGGTTTGTTTTAATTTCAGTAATCGTTGTAATTCGGTGCACTTAAATTAGACTATATTTTTATATTTACTATAATTCAGATCTTTGCCAATAATGGACACGTTTCTGGGGATCCTTGTTCTCAAACAGTAACAACAAAATGTGAGTAAATATTTCCAGTGATCTAGTTAATATTTTTATATCCAGGTCTATTTAGGAGACAGTGCCTAATGTTAATATACATTTTAAGCTTTACTGTTCTCATTTTTCCAAATAAAGAGCCACACCTGCCAACATTTAAGTTATTGCTCCTTAGTCAAATAAGTAATACTACTGATTAACAGTGAAGAATAAAAAATAACATTAATGAATATAACATCACTCAAATGTATACTAATTTAAATGTATACTAATTTAAATATATATATTTTAAAAAAATATTTAAATATTGTTTTTCTGAATATGGCTCTGTAAGCCTGTCAGATTCTGATCATGAGTTAATGTGAACCTGGAAAGAATGAGTTAACATGCACATGGAAAGAATAAGGCACAGACATCATGGTCTGGTTAAATGGTTAGGACTTGCTTTAAAACTATTACATTACTGAGATAATGACTTCATGCTATTTCATAGTGATTTTTTACTTGCCCATGTGGCCTAGGTATAAGCTTGAAGGGATCTGTGAAGGCCATGCTTATTTGACTTGAAGTCAAGGTCCCAATCCACTTTCCTCCTCTATACCAGTGGTAGGTGGGATCATCTAGGCTAGGGACAGACATTACACATAAACCAGTTTAAATAATCAGAAACTGCAACTGAAACACTTCTAACAGAGCAGGTGTTCAGTGCACATAAACCAGTTTGAAAATGGCTGAAACCAGTTTGAGATAACCTGGTTGAATATAGTATCAGACTTAACTGGTTTGGCTCCAACTGGTTTATGCAATGTTTGTCCCAGACCCCTTGCTGGTTTAATATAAACAAGACTCCCCCAGCATCCCTGCATGCTCTCTGGGCTGGGTGGGGCTCTGCTTCACAGCAGAGCTGGCCTCTCCCCTCTGCTCCCTTGCTGGCGATCTGTCAGAGACTGCAGGTGTCTGCCTGGCTTCTCCCTGCTAAACAGGGATTATTCCCTCCTGCCCTTCTGCCTTACACCTCTCTGCATTAACTAGCAGAGCACATGCTGGCTACAGTCCATGCTGTGGGAGATGACAAAGGTACACAAGCACAGAACTTTTGGGGGCTAATCAACAGGTAGCTGGTAATGTCCTTCCTTGGAAAATCTGTTTAAGAGCTTGAACTAATGCAAAGAGGCTTTGTTTTCTTAACGAGTTGATAATCACAGAGTTAGGGGTGATAAACATTCCCTGCTGGGCTGCTCAGAGTCAGGGGGAGGAGGGAGTATGGGACACATCAAAGTGTCCTGCCAGGGCCTGGCCACACTACCCCTTGGCTCAGCTTCCCTGTGGAAGGGAAGAGAGGGCTGCTGTAGTGGCATGTAGAATGCAATAATCCAAGTTGGAATTTGACTAAGAATGGTCTTGTCTGTACTGAAGCACTAAGCAGTAAGTATTTGGACTTAGTTACATGACACCAGTTTAAGAACAAAGGGATACATACTATTTCCCTTTGTGCATTTAAATGGCAAGGGCATAGCTGAGTAACAGCAGTTTTGGGCTCTTGTATATAGTTTCTAGTGCAGTTCTGTGGGCAAACCTGCATGTGTCCACTAAACATGCCCAGTAGGCCTCGACTGCAATGGGGTAGCTGCACAGCAGCAGGCAGGGAAATCCCTCAAAATGTTTTTTGCTTAAAAACTGTGATGGGAGCCTGGGAAAGGAGGCAGGGGAGGTCCTTCCTACATTTTAGCTCAATACCCCTTTTGAAATACCCACTAAACAGCAAGAAAATAGCAAATTACAAGATGTGTGGCTAAGTGAAGTGGCTGCTACCTCAGGTGGGAGTGTGGCCCTCAGTTTTAGCCTAGGTACCATCTCCCTTTTAGATGGTAAATTTTCCAGTACTGTTCTATTTTATCCAATGAATTCAAAATGCTAAATAAAGTGGGCCAGCTTCAACAGGAGAGTAGGAGATATGCCTTTTTCTCCATCCTGTGTGTCGGGCAGTTTGTTTTTCCATCAGGTTATATGGAATCTCATACTGTGTAAGTGACAGAAACTGCAGTTACAGAGCTGCATATGAAACATTAAGCATACAAAGTGAAACAGGCTTTGGCCCAAAAATAGTCAGTGTACCCACTCAAGCCAGAATCATGTAAAGAAACCTTGTAAGTACTTTAAAATTTATGATGTACATAATAGTAGCATCCTAAACCCTTTGCATGCCATTCCTGACTATGAATTCTGAGTGATTTCCAAATGCCATAAATGCACTGTGAACAGTAGGGCCCCAGTATTGGGCCTGTGCGAAGCAGCTAGCATTCACTTTGGATTCGGCTGATTTGGGGGACAGTGATTCGATCTGGTGATTCAAATCACTGTCCTGATTCAATTTGGCCAAATCTGATTTGGAGATTCAGCTGCTGCCGAATCTGAGTCTCCGATTCAGCCAGGCAAAGCCCATCCCCCGCCCGCTCTCCTAGCCTGGCAATGAGTGCCCCGCCTGCCCCAGTTCCCGGCTTTTTGGGAAAAAAAAGCCCTGGCTCACCGGGTGCAGCTGGGTGGGGGGCAATCTCCACTGCCCCCCACTGCCCCATGCTGCATGGGAAGCTCTTCCACGAGCCCCCTGACCCCCCTCACTCCCTCAGCCCCCCCACAGGTGCCCCGCCCGGGCCCGCTCCCACCCTTCAAGGGAAAAAAAAAACCCCAAACCCCCAGACTCACCACTTCTGCTGGCAGGGGGTGATCCCTGCTGCCCCCCGCTGCCCCACACCATGTTAGGGGGCTCTTCCACAGCCCCCTGAAGCCCCAAGGCTGCCACAGGAGTGTTGAGTCCTGGGCTTTACTTGTGGGTTTTTTTCTCTTAAAGGGCCGGAGCTGACACGGGTGGGGCACCTGTGGTGGGGCTGGGGGAGTGAGGGGGGTCTGTGGGCTCATGCAGAGCCCCCCATGCAGCGTTGGGGCAGTGGGAGGAAGTGGGGATCACCACCCCCCACGTGGAAGCACCCAGTGAGCACCAGCTTTTCATTAAAGGGCCAGGAGCTGGGGTGGGCAGGGGTGTTGCACAAACGGCTAGTTTCGTGCCCCTGGAGGCTTGTCCAATCCACCTCTAGGAGAGAGTCACACACAGGCTGGGTCTAATTTCAGATTTATTGTTTGCAAACAAGTTCGACAAGGGAGCTTAATTTACTCAAATCCGTGTCGACCCCAAACAGAG